ACGTGCAGAAGGAAATGTGGTTTTTACATACAATAGAGTATTACTCTGACATAAAGTAGAATAAACTTGAGACATTTTTAGGTAAATGAATGTAATGAGACCATACTTTTAAGTGAAATAAATTGGACACATGTTTACATATTGTATTGTTTCTCTTGTGTGAAAAACAGCAAATGTAAATAAAGACCAAAATGGATGATAGATATTGGGAAGCTGGGAGAAAATGTTCAAAAGGGAATTGGAATGAGGGAGGAGGAAGGGCGAAGGGAAAAGCGAAAAAGAAAACAGAAGGAAAAATGGAAACAAAGCTTTTGTTTTATTTCTTTACCTCTCCCAATTCCCTTTACCATTCTTTCTCTTCCCATCTCTTCTAGAACAAGTCAGTCCTAAAGGTATGGGGTGGGCACATCGCAAGAGTCCATGCAGAGGGGTGGATCTGGAGGCAGATGCTCAATTGGAGTAAAACAAGGGGCTGGAGATGAAGGCAACTTGAAATGGACATAGACTCCAGGAGCATAAGAGTTCTCCTTGGAGGGGTTGTTGGTTAGTATAAAGAGTCCAAACTCAGGAGGAGAGGAAGCATCCATACTTGTGAGTAGCCCGGCATGGGTGTTAGTGCCCAGTGTCAATGAGAGATCTAGAATAAGACTCAGAGAATGAATAAGATGAGGTTGTTATTAATGTGTGGGGAAGCATGAGGTGTCTGAGCCTGTAGTCGTTTCCTTGGGTTTCCATAGCAAAATACCACAAATTATGCATCTAAGATCAAAGTGTTAGCAAGACACACACACTCTCTCTCTCTCTCTTTTTACCTATTAACTATCAGCTTTATTTAAAAATATATAAATATTCTCACACATACAACTTAAGATTGTTGCAATTTTGAAATACCATGCAGAACTGACACAACAGGAAAATCCACACCAAGTTAATCATTCAGATTGCCAATTCCATCCACTAACTTAACACTACAGTATTCAGGATAAGTGAAAGATTTAATATGATCAACACTGAGGAAAAACCAGCCATTTATACCATGCTGCTATGCCTGGAACAAGCAGTCCATGGGTTACTGAAACAAAGTATTTCAACAGCAAATTTAGAGCTTCCCCCAAATGAAAAAAAAAATCTAGACACTGAATTGATGTCAATATTTTACTTCTGAAAAAGTACACTCTTCTTGTGAGCTTTCACCCACAACCAAATATAGTCGTGTTTTACAGAGAGCTCAGCACTGGCACCGTGACTTCAGCCAGAGGCTGGAGTTGGCTGATTGGAAGGAAAGCTCTCAGGGTGGGAAGGAATGAATTCAATGCTGGGATGACTTGTCAAATGCCAGGGACAATGAGGATACCTGCCTTCTGGGCAGCAGACTTACATATTAGAATTATAGGAAATAAAGGAAAAAAGTTAGGGGCTGGGGAGATAGCTCAGTAGAATTAGTGCTTCCCTGGCGAGCTCGAGGGCCTGTGTTCAGTCCCTGGTTCCACCAAAAAATAAATAAATGCATAAAAATGAATAAATAAATGAAAGGAAAAACTTAAACAAGTTAAAATATGTGTTCAAAAATATGTGCATTACCACTTCGTGGTGAGTTGAAATTTCTGTAGCAAGGTCCAATCTAAATATTCATATAAATGAGGATGTGGCGAGCAAAGACATGCTTATTCTTTCTAAATTTCCAGTGTACACATTTGCATTTTGTTCAGGGGTACTGTTAAATTGTAGGAACTTCAGAAATGCTGGTCACTTTTTACAAAGCATAACTATGTTGTAGAAATTTCTTAAGTTTTAGTTAAAATATTTGACCAGGAAAAAGTTCGTAAACACTGCACTGAGTTTCAGGTTTTACATCTTATTCCTGAAAAAAAACAACTTTCAACACTTTTCAAGAGCCCTTTTAGAGGTCAAGACCTTTTTAGATGTACTACACAGGCAACAGTGAAGTTGAAGGAAAATCCAAAGGGCTGCATCCCACTTTAATGAAGTGGGAGGAAAACTTAAAGTGGTCTACTATAAACTGCAAGGCAAAATGTGACTGAAAGGTTCATGGAGCATGGCAGCCCTCGCTAAGTAAATGATGAAGTGTGACTGCCACTCCAAGTTCTCTCCATCATGAGTAGGATTTAGTTTAGGGGAAATACTTTAATGTACCTTTCAGAAAAAAAATTATCTTTTCCCATCACAAACAAAAGAGGTTATGAAGTTCAATGCCAACAAGCCACCTTCCTTCTGTCCCATACAGCTGAAAGCGAATCCAAAACAGGATACACATCCAGGATGGTGAACTGGTAGTCCTTGCTCACTTCCCCACCGTCATAGTAGTCGATCACATATCTAACTTCTGTCCCACAGCGGTTGATGATCTAATCATGCCTGTCGAAAGGCAACTCGTACCCCATCCAGGACTGAATTTTTGCCCTTGGTGAATAGTGTTTTGCCTTCCCTCCGAATCGGATCAGTGATGGATCACAAGGACACTCTGAAGCATGAAGGGCTTTCCATTTCAAAATCTCCTTCCAGGCCTGCTCATTATTCTGATTTTGAATCTTTATGATAATATACATATCTTTCTGGCTAATATCCTCATCCTTCCACTTCCACCCTTTCCTTTTTTTAAGGGGTACCGGGGGTTGAACTCAGGACCCTGCGCTTGTTGGGCAAGCGCTTATTCTACTGAGCTATCTTCTCAGCCCCTGAACTTTTCCTTAACATTGCATTCCAGAACATCTGTTCAGAAGGATAAACCCATTTTTTCTTAGAATCTGCTCTTGGAGTGGATGATTCTCCTCTAACTGTAGACAAAGGAAATGGCTGATCTGGGGCTGATGTTTGGTTAGGTGGTGGCATCAGATTTGAAGGAACCAGGTTCTCCTTATTCACTCCGGCACCAGTAATGGGGCACTCCACATACTCATACACTCAATCTTGGTGGGCAGGAACAGAGTAAGCTTTGCTATCACTAGGTGGACCAGATGGTTTCTCACTTAATGGACAGCAGTTTGTAGAGGTTTCAGTTCAGAGTTGGCTGGCTCCAAGGCAGGGTAGCATGGCAGAGGGGCATCACAGAGGAGAACAGCTCATGCCAGGCAGAAGGTAGGAAGGCAGCAAAGTAGTGAGGAAGCAGCAGCCAAGACGCTGTCTCTTATACAACTAGGGAAGCCCTTCCTTGTCTTGCCCTAGGTGCTGGTGGTTTGCCAGCAATCTTTGCTATTCCTTGGTTTGCAATCATATAATTTATTTTTTTTTCTCAAATAGAAAAAGTAGATGCAAAGGTAGGACTCTGGCTCTAATAAAACCTACACAATTACTCATGCACCTGGACCTCTGTGAAACACAAACAATGGGAGACTAAGAAGGATTGGAGGAAATACAACCAGTCGCCCACTGACCACGCCTGATACGTTTTTGTTTAGTTTAAATGAGGAGCTATTGGTTTCAAAGATATATGAAATCCCGGCCGTTGTCTTCTTATACTTGGAGGTTTAGACCACACTCTCAATTCTTGAAGAGTTGTAGTCTGAGTCTTGAATTGTGCGCATGCGCACCTGGGGAAGCGCCAAGATACCAGCTGTCCACACTCCCACCGCGGCCCCCGTAGATGACGCCATGGAAGCGACTCCCGCCGGGGCGACGCCTGTAAAATACGTCGTCTCAGCTACCTGAAGAGCAGCATTGTGAGGTCAGTGCCCTGGGGAGGCGTTACCCTGCCTCCTGGGTCTGGACGGCCCAGACCTGCTTAGAGCACTGGAGGGAAGGCTGCGTGGAAGAGTAGGTCCGGCTGCTCAAGGCCCTGGAACCCCAGTGGCCGGAGGGTGGCAATGGATCTGCACTTCCGCAATGGCGGCAAGCTTGGTAAAGCTGCAGCCGCCAAGGCAACCACCAACATCCTGCGTTCGGGAAAAAAGTGTAGCACAGTGAGTGGCAGCCACTTCTGTGGCCCGGAGGCAGACCCACGGGGTAGAGATCTTGACTAAGGGGAGGGGATGATGCTTGTCTTTGACCGCTTGGCTTCCCACACCTTGGAATGATGGCTTGGAGAAGCAGGGATGCTTTCTGGGTTGTCAGCCACGTGGGTTGCTTCAACTTTGTGTAATTCTTTGGTTTCTTTGGAAGTATTAGCACATTGAAATGTGAGTATTGGTTCAAGCTAAGTGGATAATTCCAATTAGCACAAGAGACAAACTTTCCAATTGTATCTGACAGAGCCCACAGAAACCTAAGACTCCGGAGATTGGAGCGGCTCACGTATTGGAACTGCCTCTTGGGGTCAAGCTGCCCGTTTTCCCTGGAATGACCAATGTGTTATATAGGACACACATAAGTGAGAAGGTAAACTAAGTTTTAATAGTTTGTGAGTGATTCTCTTTACACTTTTAAACTTGCTATTAAACGTGAAACATTTTAGTATGATTATGCATTGTGACGACTTCAATTTCACACACCAGCTGGGGTTAAATGAGTTGGGCTACCCTTTGTTTGGAAACCTCACTTTTGAATGATAGAAGGTCCAGGGGTGCCCCCTGCTGCCCCATACAGCAGTCCATTTAGCCTTTTCTTCATTTAAAGCTTCAACTCCAGGAGAGGGGGGGACTATGTATGTATGTATACAGGATGCTTTAGATAATTGTACTACTGATTTCTGCTGATCTATGAAAAGGAGTAGTTAATAGTTTTTTTTCTCTTTTGAACTTCTCATAACTTTTTTTCCAATTTTGCATGCATATATTTGGTAATCTAAGTAACTAATTTAGAGACAATACTATGCAATGCAACAAAATATTGTCAAATTCATATTATTTCTTTATTAAAATTCTGTATCATTTCTACTTTTTTATTATTTTGTGTTCTCTTTTAAAAATAAATACAAATTAAAATAAATAAAGCTTCAAAGCCACACTTTGTCATCTTTTCTAACTACTCACATATACTGTGCTGATTCCTACTTCTGTCCTTTGTCTGTCTGGTTCTGGAGACCTGGCATGCATGCTCCTCTCCTTCCCGACTGTCAGTCATAACTTCTGCTCAGGAACTGGATTGAGGTTGAGGCTACCTGCCAAATATTCCCAAACTGGAATTCTGTAGACCATCTCCAGGAGAAAGAGTGGGAGAGAAGAGAAAGGCAATGCGTTTACCCAAGTCATCCCATTGTCTGTATTGTTCCACTTCAGATTCTGCTGGCATGCCTTATTTTTCACTGAACATCCTAATCATTTCACCAAATTGAAGTATAAATGTGTTACTTCATTTGTTTTGCATTTTTCATGCTTTTGCATTTGTTTGCAGCTATACCAGCCTTTTTGGGGGTTTAACCTTACTGATCCATACTGTCAACTTATGGAAACCACCTACAACAACCTCCACGATCCACACTTAAAATCATACTACCACCGGAACAGCATGCTGACAACATTAAGGAGAGGCGGGTTCATCACTAGCAATAACAATGTGAGTTGGGGCTTACTATTTCCTGTTAATCAGCAAAATCTGGCGACTTGATAGACGTTTGCTTCTGTACTTCACTAGAAACCTGTGTCAACTATGAGTGGAGCAGTAGGGATGACCTAATATTAAAAAACTCAAGGAATGACTCAGTATTTGGGTCAGGAAAAATCAGATGGCTATTTTTGCTAAAATTTCATAATGTTTTTCTTTAAAAATGATAGAAGATAATTACGAAGTACTTTAAGTACATAAAGACCCCACAAACACATACATGTATTTATTTACCAGTGTGTATTTATCTGCCCCTAAAACATATTGTAGTGCCTTTTTCCTGGCTGTAAAAGTAATTTCCTGTGCCATTTGGGAAAACTAGAGACAAAGTGGAATTTAGCAGGATACAGCTTGTTGGAATTAATTATTTGCAGGGTATGATAGTATCACTATTATGTTGGTGTTTTGTTTTAAATAACAATTTGTGTGGGAATAGTAAGTTTTTTACTATGGTGTTTTATTAATGAAATAGTATTTTTAGATAAATTTCATGGTGATAAACCAATTGTACAGAGATAGTGCCTTCAAAAGTGTTATTAAAGTTTATTATTAGATATCCCAAATTGTTACTATAATGTTCTTAATAATCCATCTCTCTGGAAAATGTTATGATTGTTACAACTTTATATTAATGTTTTTACAGGTAATATGCTCCTTGAGTGAATTTAATAAATATAGGCAGTATCTAACCAGGTTAAAAATAGATACTGAAAGAGAATATAAAAAACAACATGTAAGTATTTAATTTTTTTAAATTTTATTTTTAATTTACAGAGAATAAAAAATAGACAAGACATTAGAAATGATACACTATTTCTGAAAAACCAAATAAGGTGATAAGTATTCAACAATGATTGTTATATTGCAAATTGTTGTCTTCAGTGTAGTTGTGCAGATTACCAGATATAAGCATGTAAAATTGGTCAAAATACATATTTGAAGTATTAACTGTTCCCATCAAAAAAACAATAGAGATTAGTAATATAATCATCTTAGCTATCCTGTGGAGGGGGGGTTGTGTATGTGTATGATTTTCCCCTTCCTATTTTTTTCTTTTTCCTTTTCTTTATCCCAATTGTTTACTCCTTTTGAGAAGTTTCTTTCCCTTTTATTATGTCTTTCAGATTTTATTTACTCGTTCAGGTTCTTATACTAAGATAATACAATGTTTACACACGTGGGTCTGATTTATTTCACTTAGGTGTATAGCCTCTAATTCCATCCATATACCTATAAAAGCCTCAATTTTCTTTCTTTATAGCTGAGTAATAATACTCCATTGTATAAAAATGTCACATCTTTTTTATCCATTCCTCATCTGATGGACATTTGGGTTGTTTTCAAGATTTAGGTATGACAAATTGCACTGCTACAAACATGGGTGCACATGTAACACTGTGGTATGATGTTTTCAGTTCTTCTGGAAAAATCCCCAGAAGGGGAATAGCTGAGTTGAATGGAATTTCTAATCCTAGTTCTTTGAGGAATCTCCACACTGATTTCCATATGGTCTACACTCCCACTAACAGTGAGAATGATTCCTTTATCCCTGCAGCCTCTCGAGCATTTGTTATTAGTTGATTTCTTTATGATAGCCATTCTTTCTGGGATGAGATGGTATCTCAACATTCTTTAAATTTGTGTTTGTCAAATGACCAGTGCTGTGGAACATTTTTTTATGTACTTGTTTTCCTTTTGTATTTCTTCCTCTGAGAAGTATGTATTCATCTCAGATGCCTATTTTTGGATTAGGTCTTTCAATTTTGGGGCCCTGAATTTTTTAATTCTTTATACATTCTAGTTACAGATCCTTTGAGGCATCGTTACCTAATATTTTTCCCAATTTGTGGGTTTTCTTTTCACTCTGTTCATGATTTCTTTTAATGCACAGGAACTTCTCAGTGAGATCCCAGTTGTTGATTCTTTGAAGTATTTCAGGTGAAGTTTGGCTTTTGTTCATACACTCTCTGCCTACAAGAAATCTACCAGTTTCTCTTCCAGTAGATTTATTGTTCATGTTTTAATGTTTAGATCTTTAAACCATTTTGACTTTAGTTTAATGCATGGTAATAGACATGTATCTATTTATAGTTTTTAGCATGTGGAAAGTCAGTATGTCCAGCACCATTTGTTAAAGAGGCTTTTTTCCAGTGGACATGTTTGACCCCTTTGTCAAAGAAAAGTTGGCTGAGTATGAGTCTAGTTGTGTCTGTGTCTTCTAATCTGTTCCACTGATCCTCAGGTCTGTTTTTTAGCCAGTACCATGCTGATTTTATCACAGTAGCTTTGTAGCATAATTTCAAGTCAGGGATTGTGATGCATTCTGCTTTGCCTTTGTTAGCCAGGATTGCCTTTGCTATTCTGGGTCTTTTCTGGTTCCAGATCAATGTTTGCAGTGTTTTTTCTACATCTGTGATATGTGCTAATGGTATTTTGATTGAGATTACATTAAATTTGTATAACAGTTTCACGGCTTTGGCCATTTTTATAGCGAGCCCTTGCTGGTCCTCATTATATAACTTCCTCCAGGAAGTTTATATTTGTAATCCCATGGATAAGTTATTGGAATCCCATCAAGTTAATTCCAGTCCACCACTTCCAATGCAACCTGGAGCAAGAATAAACACACAAAGGCATATTTATAGTTATGGGGAGCCAAGGGGTCCTAAGTCCAGCCATGGTGATGGCTATCCGGAACAAAGGCCTCGACCCAGGACCAAACCTGGGTTTTATTTAGTCATGAAGGAGGAATGGCTTGAGGATGAATGACTGCGAATGGCAGGAAGTAGGTGAGTACTGAGTGTTGGGCTAAGTAGGAGGCCTGTATTTACTTCTGCAATATGCAGAGAAGGATGTGCACAGAGTAATCTGCATTACATAATTGAGATAGTATCTAATGTTTTGGGGTCTGATGCTTCAGCACTGATGTAAAATGTTTCAAGCCCCAGGAAATCATAGCCTCTATTTTAAGACTCAATCCCAGCTGAGAGTGTGGAGCATTGGCTTCGTCCTGTCTCAACCCGGCTCATATTAAAGAGCAGCAGGTAGGAGTTATCAGGGAAACACACATGTCATCTTCAAAGACTACCACCAGCACCTTGGCTAGACCAATATGCATACCTTAAAGCCAATTGAAGGGATAAGCAAAGTCCTAGCCAGCTCTGTACATATCAATACATGGAAATAGGGTCAGGCACAGTCAGAATGGAGACCATTGTTTTTCTTTCAAGGAGAGTCTCTTAGGTAGTCCTCCACACATTTTTACAATGTTGGATCTTCCTATCCTTGAACAAGGAATGTCTTTCCATTGTCTGAAATCCTCTTCTATCTCTTTTTTTAGAGTATTGTGATTTTCATTCTATAGATCTTTTGCTCCTTTTGTTAGATTAATTCCTAAGCATTTCATTTTTTGGATGGTTTTATGAAGGGTGTTATTTCCCTCATTTGTCTATCAGTGAGTTTGTTGTTTTTGTGTAGAAATGCTATTCTTGGTTTGAAGTTGAGATTGTCTGAGAACAGGATTGCTACCCCTGCTTTTTTGTGAGGTGGTGGGGCGTGTAGTATTTTTTTCTGTCCTTTGACTTTCAGTCTATGAGTTTCTTTGTGAGTTAAGTGTGTTTCTTGTATACAGCATACTGTTGGATTTTATTTCCTTACCCACTGTGCCACTCTATTTCTTTTAATTGGTGAATTGAGTCCATTTAGATTGATGGTTATAATTGAGATGTATTGACTTACAATTGACATGTTATTTACCTCCTGTTGTTTATTCCTTTTTGTCCCAAATCTGGGAAACAACCAAAATGCCAGTCACCTGAAGAATGGATGAAAAAGATATGGTATTTTTATACAATGGAGTATTACTCAACTATAAAGAATGATAAACTCGAAGCCTTCATATTTAAGTAGATGCCACTTGAAGATATACTCATAAGTGAAATAAATGTGTAAATATCATGTAGTCTCCCTAATATAAGAACTCAAAAGAAGAAATGCAAATAGAAAAGTATAACACAATTAAAAGAAAAGTGAGAACTTTAGGATTAGACAATGAAAAGGACAAGGAGAAAAGCTAAGAAACATGACAGGCAAAGCCATACGTTTATACATACAAGATGGGTAAGGCAGTGAATCTGAGTACTATCAACAGGTTGTTGAAACTAGCAGTTACTTGGTGGGATTCTCACCCTGACTAACTATAAATGCTGATACATATGAATTGAGCGACTGCACCGAAGATAGCAATGTGTAATAGTGGGGTCATCCTTGGAATGCCTGTCTTTCTGGTCTTTTAAATATGTACTGCTCGTGATGAAATACCAATTATGGCCAGACTGGATCTCAAGTAATTTTTTTAAAGATGTTCCATCTTATGCCAAAGATGTTTGATATTCAGACAGATAGTGAGGTTAAACCCAACTGCATATATTGTAGGGCAATAAGGTGGTCTTCTGAAGGGTTAACAACCTAACTTTGCAGACCAAAAATTAGACAAAAAGAAGGACTATAAGAACAGCCCACATTTTGGCCCTAGCCTTTCAAGGTCAGTGAAGACCCAGGACATAGGAGACCAGTACTGTAGCATCATGTAACTCAGGTGTGCCCCAAATTTTCTGATCAAGGAGATTATGGGGCCACAGAGGAATGTGATCGATGATGTAGTGTGTACCTAAAGAGAGTCACATGGAGAGAAAACATTCTCCTAGGCTTTCACAGAGAGCAAAATGGTCAAGCAATGGCCATGACTCATCCACATGGCTGACACTGACAAAGGATCTACAAAGTGTGGTACAGAGTTTCAAGATAAGTCCTGAAGGGATTTGACTGACCTTGTCAGATACAAAAGTTACATTCTTTGTTATATAGGTCTTCCTTTATCTTGATCTTAACCGTCTAGCAGAAAAGTGTAGAAACGAGGTATGAAAAGTGAAGCCAGGTTAATATGCTGAGCTGTGGAAGGCTCAAGTCATCAGAGTGGGACATTGCCAGTCCTGTGGATAACCCACTGCTATTGTGCAGTACTGGACTATATTGGAATATTTTGCTGAATTCATGCATCTACAATATTTGGATGGCAATGGAATACCTATCTCTGACAAAACTGAACAAAAAAAGGCGATATAAGTGAAGGACAATTTTGTATCTGTATATACAAAATAGTTAGGATAGATATATAGCTACTTTCTCTTAATTCCATAAGAAGAAAGATCTGTACTAATAGTGTTTGGACAGGATATAATGTCTGCATCTTGTGCTATGAATAACTACTACAAAGACAACAATATGCAGTGTATTAATTGTTGTAACTCTCCTACCAACCTGTTTTGAAGCTGTCACATTGCATTTTTTTCTCAATATAATTAATAATAAAACAATAAAGAAATGCTATTAATTTTGGGGTGTTGCCTTTTTATCCTGCTATGCTGCTGAATTTGTTTATTAATTCTAGCAGTCTCTTGGAGGTTTTTTTGGGGGGTGGTCTTTCATGTAAAGTATTATGTCATCTGCAAACAATGGTAATATAACTTATTCCTTTCTAATTCTTATTTTATTTCCTTCTCTTGTTTAATTGCTCTGGCTATTTCCAGAACTGTATTGAATAGAAATGGTGATAGTGAACATCCTTGCTTATACCTGATTTTGGAGTAAAAGCTTTTAGTTTTTGTCCATTTTCAATGATGTTGACTGTTGGTTTGACATAGGTAGCTTGTATCAGATTGAGGTAAACACCATCTATTCCAATTTTCTGTAGAGTTTTTTTCATGAATGAGTGTTGGGCTTTGTTGAAAGCTTTTCCTGCATCTGTTGAGATGATCATGTGGTGTTTGTTTTTGGCTCTGTTGATATGGTGTGTTACATTTATAGATTTGCATATGTTGAAACATCCCTGCCTCTATGGGATGAATCCTGCTTGGGCATCATGTATAGTCTTCTTGATGATTTGCTGCATTCTATTCGCTAGTATTTTATTGAGTATTTTTGCATCTATGTTTATCAGGGAGATTGGCCTATAGTTCTCTTTTTTGGTCAGATCTTCCTCTGGTTTTGGTATCAGTGTAATACTTGCCTCCAGATGTGAATTAGGTAGAATTGCTTCCTTTTCAATTTCATTGAAGAGTTTGGGAGTATTGACATTAAATCTTATGTAAATTTCTTATAGAATTCAGCTGTGAATCCATCAAGACCTGGGATTTGCTATGCTGCTAAGTTTTTTTTTTATTACACTTTCATTCTCATTAACACGTAAAGGGATATTCAGAATTTTTACATCTTCTTGATTTGTAGCAGCAAATGACAGCAAGCAAAGATAAACTCCCACAAAAGAAACCAAATGCAGAGAAACAATGAAGGTTTGTTGCAAGCGTACAACTAACTGATGCCCTGACTCTGGTTCAGGACTCCCAAAGTTATCAGCCCCCACCTGAACTTTGCTTTCAGTTTATATACTTTTCAGGTTTCTATAATAACCACATTATCTCATTTTTTTTTTATATTTCAACAAATAATACACTGCATATATTCTTCTTAGTGGTTAATTGCTGTACAAGATGCAGAGTTGTGATCCTATTTACAAACACCATTAGAACAAATCATTCTATTCATTAACAGAATGTAACTATCTATCCCAACCACTTTGAATACACAGATACAAAATGGACATTCATCTGTATACCCCATTTTTTCTAAGTTCCGTTATTGAATATTATAGGTGTGTAAACTCAGCAAAATATTCTAAAAGAGTCCAGTAGCCCATAATAACATTGGGTCTTCTGTTTAACTGGCAATGTCAGAAATTATTGACCTGAGTCCCCCACAGCTCAACTTAACAGCATGGCTTTATTTCTTATAATTTCGTCTTCATACTTTTCTGCTGGATGGTTAAGACACATTATCTCATTTTTAAGGACTTTACAAGACTGTCACATAATTGCCACAAAGTATATACATTTCTCAGACATTGTTGGCCATCTCTCTGTCCTGGGGCATTTTAGTTTAATATTTACCCTATTCCTCAAGTTGTTCTAATTATTTGTTTCCATTTTATGGCCCTGGTTTTCTCTAAGTGGTTTTATGGCTAGCTACATAGGAAGTGAGGGAGTGAGTTTAACTATAATTTAAGTAAAATTGAGCCCCCCCTAAAATGGAGTCTCTTTTGCCCCCATCAGATTCAGTTTTGGTAATTCATACATATCTAGGAATCTATCCATTTCTTCTGGATTTTCCATTCTATAAGAGTAAAGATTTTCAAAGTAGGTGTTGATGATCTGAATTTTCATAACCTCTAGTAATTTCACCTTATTCATTGCTTTTTGCATGGGTTTGAGGTTTTTTTTCTTTTTTAAAATGAGATTAGGTAGGAGTTCAGCAGTTTTATTTAATCTTTCAAGGAACCAACTCTTTGATTCATTAATTCTTTGTATTTTCTTTGTCTCAATTGCATTAATTTCTGCTCTGATCTTTATAATTTCCTCACTCCCTTGGACTTTGTGCTTGACTTGCTTTTCTTTTTCTAGAAGCTTAAAGTGTAGCATTAGAGTATTTATTTGTTCTCATTCTGTTTTCCTAATGTGAAAGTTCGCCATTATAAATTTCCTGCTAAGAATTGCTTTCATTGCATCTTACAAATTCCAATAAGTTGTGTTTGAATTTTCATTGACTTATATATATTGTTTAATTTCTTCTTTATTTTTATCTGTAACCCATTGGTTGTTCAGGAAGATCTTATTTAATTTTTATGTGTTTATGGAGTTTTTGCAGTTTCTTTTGCCATTATTTTCTAGTTTCGTAGTACTATGTTCAGATAATATGCATAGGATAGTTTCAGTTACCTTGCATTTACTTAAGCATATTCTATGGACTAGTATGTGGTCTGTTTTAGAGAATGTCCCACGTGCAGTTGAAAAGAATGTGTATTCAGATGTTGTTGAGTGGAACACTCTGTAAACTTCTACTAAGTCCTTTTGTTCAGTGTTTGGTTCAGTTCTGCTACCTCTTTGCTAGCTTTTTGTCTAGTTGATCTATCTCTTTGAGACAATGGGGTATTAAGGTCCCCTGTTCAGATTGTGTTATTGGTTATTTGATTTTTCATATCCTTTAAAATTTGTCTTATATACCTCGGTGCTCCCATAATTAATACATACATATTTATGACTGTCATCTCTTCTTGAAGTGTTCCTCTAACCAGTATTAGTGATGTTCTTTATCTCATTTGATCATTCGTGGTTTAAAGTTCACATTGTCTATGAACAGAATAGCTACACCTGCTGTTTTCTGGGTTCCTAGTGCATGGAGTATTGTTTTCCATGCTTTCACTTTTAGCCTGTGAATTTCCTTTTGAGTTAAAAGTGTTTCTTGTGTACAGCATAATGAGTGGATTTCTTGATCCACTCTGCCAGTCTGTTTCTTTTAATTGGTGAATTGAGTCCATTTACATTGATGGTTATAATTGGTATGTATTGACTTCTTTTTGTCATTTTACTTTCCAGTTGTTGGTTCCATACTTTTCCCCTGTGTTTCTTTCTTTTTGAACTACCAGGGATTGAACTCAGGACCCTGTGCTTGCCAGGCAAGCGCTTATTCTACTGAGCTATCTCCCCGGCCCCTCCCCTGTGTTTCATTACTTGCTCTACTTAGTGGTTTCTTCCTGTTGTCCTTATAATTGTGGTCATTTTTATCTCTTTCTAGAATATCTCTTAGTAACTCTTTGTAGTATTGGTTTGGTGTCATGAATTTCTAAATTGTTCTTTATCATGGAAGTATTTTATTTCTCCAGACTTTTGGAAGATAGTTTTGCAGGGTACATCGACCTGGTTCCAAATTGTTTTCTTTCAGGACTTGAAATACTTCACTCCAAGCTCTTTTTGACTTGATGGCTTTTGTTGAGAAGTGTGCTGTAGTCCTGATGGGCTTTGCTTTATATGTGATGTGTTTCCTTTTTCTAACAGCTTTAAATATGCTGTTCTTGTGTTGAGTGGCTGAAATCTTTTTTATCATATGTCTGACTGTAGATTATTTTGGTTATGGCCAATTGGAGTTGTGTATGCCTCACATTTCTGTATGTCATATTCTTTCCCTATACTTGGGATGTTTTCTGCAAACAGTCTTTGAATGTCATTAGTGTTGATTCCTTCTTTTTCATTGATACTTATCAGTCTTATATTGTTCATTTTTGCATCATCCTGAAGCTATTGAATTATTATTTCCTGATTTTCGGAATTTTAGGAGATCTTTTATGTTTACTAGCTGTGATGAGGTCTTCAAGATCTGCAAGTCTGTGTTCAGTTTCATTCAAATGGTTTTGTCAGCTTTTATTGGAATTTTTAATTTCCTGAGTATCTCTTTGAATCTGTTTTATGCATTCTAATTCTTTCCTACATTGTTCAAGATTTCCGTCATTTGTCTGTGCTCCCTTATTTTTTTTATCTATGTCTTCTTTACATATGCTGAGCAATTCTTTCATTATGGTTATCATTTCTTTTTTTACCTGAGATATTATTTCTGATCTGATTTCTTCTATACCTTTCTGGAGTTATTTCCTTGCTTCAGTTGTTGTCATTTCAGAGAATTCAAGTACGTGACTTCTAATTTCTTCTATGTTGATGTCTCCTGGACTTGTTCTGTGGGGCTCAAGGCCTAAAACTGCATTTTGCTTCTTCATGTTATCATTTCCTGTTTCAGAAAGAACTCTTTATTTCAACTTCTCCGATAATCCTTATGAAATTTTGTTATTAGGAAGCTATGTCACTACTATCAAGGCCACTGTAGGAAAAGTCTGTTTTTCAGGAATATCTTCTGTATATCAGAGATTCCTGGTTTGTGTCTATCCCGAGATCCTGCCTTCACAAATAACTAAGAATGGGATGTTGGTTAATGCTTGGCACTGTTCTCCATCTTTAGGTATAAGGCTGTGGTGAGGTTATTACACTAGTATGTCCCTATGTTGTTCCCCAAGCGAGAACAATGGTTAAAACAGACATGACATCCTAGCTACAGTAGTGCAATTACCAATAATGATAACACCATGAAAAATTCAATAATTAAAAAACTTTGGTAGCTGTTAGTTTTATATTTTAAACCATAGGAGCAAAGTCTATAGTTATATAATAGAAAAATCATAAATTGGGAGGTTTTATGGAAAGTGTTTCCCTTGGTAGAGTGGATTTACCCTGTGTTCCTCTGGCCAGGCCAGTTGCCAGGTTCCACATGCTTCACGTCACATAGGTGGATGGCCCAGATGCCTGAATTCCTCTGGCCCAGTTAGTTGCCCAGAGTCTGGAGGGCTTCCATGCTGTTTGAATGTGCTGCCAAGCAGGGGAATGGGATCAGTTTGTTTTATTTTGGACTTAATAAGAAATTTTGATGTATGGTTTGGCCTTATGCATATTACTTGCTTAAATTATTCTAACATAGAAATATCAAAGTAACAAAAAATAATATCCCTATAAGAATCTATAGGGGGCCTGCCCCATAGCTCAGTTCTTTAAGTGGCTGCTTCAACAAAGCAGTCAGGCTCAGGTTGCTGTGGTTCGATCCCCACAACTCAAGCCAGTCAAACTTGCCCTGAAGGCATTCGGAGCAAAAAAAAAAAGAATCTATAAAAGATAAAATGAGATATTTGTGTTTTCATTTTCAGAGAAAATTTTTAATTTATTTGGAATCGAAGTACATGACTTAATTGCAAGTTAACAATTTCAATCATTTGCAAAATAGTTCTAGATTTATCAAAAGCTAGTTTTATTTCTGGAAAATGTAAAAACTATAATACCTTTCTCTTTGAGATAATTATTAAGTTCCATATAAACAAATTGCATAAAGGTCATAAAGTTCATGACAACTGCGATGCTGCCAAATTGCAACAATATCCACTACGAAAAGAAGCACAGGCAGCTGCAAATCAAGAGCTGGTGATGAACCGCGGGTATGGGCAAAGCTAATGCATGTTTTAAGGACATATTCTGGACACCCAAAAACTATAAAATTACTGTAAAGATTTGAATACAGGATGAACTAGCTATCACCCTGCTAGTAGAAGACACATGATGAGGTAGAGGGCTGGGAGACCTTGATACCAAGGCTAGGGAAATGACTTTCCTGTAGCTCCTACTACACACAGAGTTATCATTCAAAGGCCAAACCCATCCTGAGAATGTAAAGCTATTAGTTATAGTTCTTTTCCTTTCTCTTTCATCAGACGTGGATACCAGTTCCCTATCATCTGACTCTCATATTCCATGGATTCACTTCCCAGTATGCTAGAATGCATAGAAGTACCAGGCTGATTGTCTACAGACTAATCCTCCTTGTGGACAAAAGGTTGTTCAGAGAGGCCAGTACCCTCTATTTATCAGGAAAATTGAAATCATTTGGTTTTCTGAAATTAATTTGAATTGATTGTGGCCATCTTTGGAAAGTTATGTTCCCCCAGACCACTGAGTTATGAATAAATGCTGTTAGCCTCTATTCTACATTTTGTCATCATCCTAGCTACAATAGTAGAGAATTGTGTAACAGGCTTATAAAATGATTACATCATGGTGACTTGGTGGGCTAGCTCAATGGTTCCTGAAAAACTCAATTTCCTATAATTTAGAAAAATGTTTACTTTTTTATTTTTATTTTTTCTGTATTTTAGGGAAGGGTCTATAGGGTGTTAAGGATCTCACTACTAGATGAGACTCATAGTGATCCTCCTGTTTACAGCCTCCCAAGAGCTGGGATTACCAGCATACGCCACCACGCCCAGTCTCAATTGCTATCTCAGCATGCGCCAGGGGCGGGACCAGCACCACAGGCCTGGGGATCAAACTCCCAGCCCCTGTACCTGTTTGCAGGTGCTTTAATCTGCTGAGCTATTTAGCTAGCCCTTAGAAAAATGTTTCAAAAGCAAAAACAACCAGGTAATTTGGAAATATTAAGACAGATAATTCCATAATTAAGGAAATATCCAATTTATCTTCACTTATATTTAATTTTTACTTAGGTACTTAGATAGGATCAGAAAGGAAATGAAGATTGAAGACAGAACAGAATACCAAAGACTGTTCTGTATTCAAAAAGAAGATAGAATGTGTAAGGACCACCATGCAAGAAGACTTCACTTATGCGGGAAAATTGAAGAGGTGAAGAACACCACATTTTAAATACTGGGGTTAAATATCAGGGGGATTGTCTGGATGCCTTATGTATAAGCATTTTAACCATGTCACAGTATTAGTTGAGATTACTAGTTTTGAGAAATGAACCTCTATCTTTTATCTTTGTTATAATAAGCAAGATTTTAATTAAAATAGGTTGATACCACAAATTACAAATCCCTGACATAGTTACATTTTATCTGCTCCATAAAATTTTATAATTTAGCTCTAGGAAAAAATAATCATGTATTCTTACTCCCTCCAAACTCAGATAGGGCTATTATTTGTTTACTTTCTCTGTCAAAATGAATTTTAGGAGCAGCAAATTTCACATGGTAGATCTCCTGCATCCATAAGGGAAAAACCCCTTTTGTCTGTTTCCTTATAGGTGTACCTTTAAAGCCAAGACTATACTTGAGTTAAGCCTATACAGTAATAGCAAAGTAAACTGGGTCTTGTGCTGTGCTCTTGTAATCCCAGCATTCTGGGAGCATGGTGCCATAGCAAAACAAATTCAAGCCCAGTCTAAACTACTTAGCACTAAATTTAGTGAGACCCTGTCTCAAAATGAAAAAGTAAAGGGCCTGGGGTGGTATTTAACCCAATATTTCAAAACAGAAAAAATTATTTTGACATTCCATTCCATCCGCCAGTCCACTAACATCCCCAGTGAAGAGCTAAGCATTCTAAAGTCAGTGTAAGATTTTCATAATGATTAACCCAGTTTCTGTTAAGCCACTGATTGAATCTAATTTGCTTATTAGTAGAAGATAGAAATCATACAGTATTTAAAAGTATGATGAAAGAGAATCCATGCTGATGACTGTAATATTGTACTGTTCAGGAATGGAAAGATAAAGAAAAGTTCCTTCTCACAAAGCTTGGAGAAGAAGCAGCAAGAGACATGACCATTGAGCAGTGTGAGAGAATCAGAGAAAAGACTGCTCAAAAGGTAGTGGGCTTTTACTGAAGACTTGGGATGTTTGAGGAAAGGTTTTTGCCATTTTTTTATATTTTAGAAAATAGTCAGAAGTTGCCTAAACTCACAGCTACTAATAGAGAGATCCAGTGTAGCCTAATTCTGACTTTCAAGGCTGAAGTGGGAATAATCTACAGAAAATGAGCAGTGAATTAAATCGGACCTAGATGTGAAAATATATTCTTGGGTTAGGGCTTTAGCTCATGAGTTGAGTAGAGCACTTATGCCGGGCCACAAAGGTGGTCCTTACTCTTTACTATACTTCTAGCTTTGTACTTGGGTGACTTTAGGAATTTCCAGACAATATAAATTGAATTCCAATACACCATCATATTTAAAATATCTTTTTTTCAGTGCCAGTGGCAAGGTAATAGTAACCATTTTAATATGTAACATATATTTTAATATTTTAGAGACAAGCATATCTAGAGAAAAAAATACATATCATTTACCAAAAATGCGTAAAAATGGCCATGAAGAAGAATCAGAAGGAAGAACCTGTAAGAAAAAAGGCCAAGATGAAGCAGGTGGGACAATAAGAATCAAAATAGCTAAGTAGAAGATGTATATCTTATATTAAATATGAGTGTCTTTATAACCACCCCCTTTTTGGAGTGGATTGAAGACCCTTCCAAAAACTAAGTCCTAGGAGCTCACAATACCTGTTCAAGGCACTTTCAATCACAGTTCCAGTTTGAAAGCATGCAAACCCACCCACAGTATGTATAATGTACATTACAATCATGATAGGTTCATTGTTCTTGTAAGATGGCTCAGTAGACAATACTGCCAGTTTATTCTGTTTTAAAAAGGTCCAGTAAGAGGAGACAGCACACACAAACAAGACAGGGAGAGTGAACTAGGTTTAGCGGGAAGAGCCAATACCAAGTAAGAAAATGATTGAAAGTAGGAAAGAAACTTTAAGAAAGAAATTACTTCTAAAATGGAGGCAAAAAAGATAAGTAAAATTACAGAAGGGCTGGGAAGATAGCTCAGTAGAATAAGTTCTTGCCTGGCAAGTGCAAGGCCCCAAGTTCAATCCCCAGTACAGAAAAAAAAAAAGATGGTTAATTTAGGGGCTGAGGAGATGGCTCAGTGGAATAAGCACTTCCCTGGCAAGCGCAAGGGCCTGAGTTCAATCCCCAGTTCCACACACAAAAAAAATTACATTAAAAAAATGTAAATGAAGAACCAATAAGAAAAGATTATTTAAAATATAGAAGGAGCAAGCTGGTGAAAGAGAAGGAAGTTTTTACAGGTTATAAAAAGACATGCACATATACACAAAGTAAGGAATAGAAAAGATTAGAATAAGAGTTCGAAAGGAAGAGGCAGTACAAATAGATAGTACAAAAAGAAATAAAGAATGAAATTTAAACAGAAGATGAAGGAAAGAAAATTGAACAGAAGAAGCCAGTAGAATACAATACACATGTAAGCTTAGAATTAGGTAGTTAGGGCAGGGGGCAGATATGACAACAAAGAAAAATGTAGCACAGAAAGAAGTGGGGACAGGGAGGAGGAAGAAAGGCAGGCAGGCAAAGAAAAGAGGTCACAAAGGAATAGGTGCAAGAAAGACACAGTTAAAAATATACGAACAAGGGCCAGCGAAATAGCTCAGCGGATTCAACCGCCTGCAAGCAGGTGCAGGAGCCTGCCATACCCGTCCTGCCCCCGGGATGTGCTGACACAGCAGTTGAGATTGGGCGCGGTGGCGTGTACCTGTAATCCCAGCTCTTGGGAGGGTGTAAACAGGCGGATCACTAGAGTCAGATCTAGTAGTGAGACCCAAATCAGTAGGTGTCTAAGTTACTTTTCTCCTTGCTGGGAAAAAATCCACAACACCTACAGCTAAGGGAAGAGAAGTTTATTGTGGCTCACATTTGAGCTCACAGTCCGCGGGCTCTGAGGCAGCATAACTTGGCACAGGCACACCAAAGAGAATTAGCTTTCAGCTCCTGGTGATCTGGAAGCAGAGAGAGCCAAGGGAGGAGCCAGGAAGAGAGATGCACCCTTCGGGTCATGCCCTCAGGACCCCAGCTCTTCTGACCAGGATCGCTTCTGAATACAAGTCAGCTGTAGCCCCCAGAATCGAATCACCTGCCAAAAGTCATACCTATGAGCACAAGGCTTTGGGGAAACATCAAGATGTTCCTGGGGGCAGGAGGGACTGACAGAGGGATTAAAAGTGAAAAGTCGATTTAAAAAAAACAGATATTTAAGATAGATATATGAGCAAAGACTTTAAAAGGACAGAAGCAGGACAATGAATATAAACTGAAAGAAAAGGAAGAATGCAGCAGGAAGTAGGGAGTAGGAGCAAGAGGAAAGAAAAAGGCAGTGAGCAAAGTAATAGAAGAAAATATAGAAATAAAACAAGTGAGACAAAAAGTGGGGAAACACAAAAAAAAGAAATGTGTAAGAAAAAAATAAAAATTGTACAATAAGGAAAATTAAAAATACAGTAACATTAAATAATAGATAATACAGACTCAAAAAGGAAAAGGTAGTACAAAAGACATTGCAGGAAATTATAGAAAAAAATATGAATAAAAAAAGAGTAAAACGAGAAGAGCCAGAGAAGGAGAAAGAAAGGTTAAAAGCCAATAAAAGAGACAAAAAAGAAATAGGAAAGAAAAAGGAACAAGAAAAAAAAAGTTTTTAAAGATAAACCTGTACAACATAATTAAGGAAAGGGCATGTGTGAAAAAGAAGGGGGAAAGGAAAGCAAAAAAGAGGGAAAAGGGAAAAGAAAAAATAGGAAAAGGATAAAATAGAAATAAAGATTTGTAAGTATGGAGGGAAGATGGGTTGAAGGCAGGAGAGAGGAATGAGGAAAACTGAAGCTGTACAGATACAGATTCCCTATGATGAGTGTGATCATTATGTCTAAAATGTATCAATAAACTTAATTTTTAGAAAGTGCTAATAAGAAAACGAAAGGAGAGGGAAGAGGGAAGGAAGGACAGAAAAATGTTTCAAATGGAGGAGCTAATAGAAAAATAAGAAAATAAAAGAGAGAGTGTGATTGTGGGAGAGAGGCTTGGAAAAGAACAGCAGTGAGATTTGTTTTTTGTTTGTTTATTTTTGAAAAGTTTCTTTTTTATTTTTCTTTTCTTTTTTTTTTTCTTTTTCTGGTGGAACCAGGGATCGAACTCAAGTTAGCAGTGAGATTCTAGTGCAACTGTGCACTGACAGAGGTAATTTCTAAAAGTTAGAAGGAACCCACAAAAGCTAAAAGAAGGGAGAGACAGAAGGAGAAAGGGAGGGGGCAGAGGGCAATGTGGGGTAGGAGAGAGGGGACAGCGAGGGAGATAAAAGGAGAGAGGGACCAGATATGGTGGCACACACCTGAATCCCAGCACTGCAGCCTGAGGCAGGAGGATCACCGCAAGTTTGAGGCTAGCCTGAACTGCATAGCGAGACCCTACCTCAAAAAAAAGGAATGAGGGAAGGAAAAAGGCAAAGGGGAGAGAAGAAGAAATGGCAGAAGGATGGAGAGTGAGAAAGGGAATTGAGAGAAAAAAGGAGGAAGACAACAAGTGATAGAACAAAAGTCATAGATGAATAGAAAGGAAGGAAGGAAATTTTAAAAGGATGAGGCAGTAGGAAAAAGGAAATTTTAAAAAGAGGGAATGTGATTGTGATGTTTGAAAAAGAGGACTCTAAAAAATTAACTACAGTGGAGGGAGGTTTAAGAAGAAGACTTCAATTGAAAAAAAGACAGAAAGAGCCATGAAGGACAGACAAACCAATAGATGTGGATTTTAAAAGAACAAACAAAAAATAAAGCACATTCATATAGGAGACTGAAAAGTCACTCTCAGGACTGCTTTCATTGTGGCCAGCAGGTTCTGGGGTATATTGTACTGGCCATATATTTGATTCTAGGAAGCAAAGAAAAGGGAACAGGAAAAAAAATATGAGGGGTGAGACTTTAGAAAAAAATTTTTAAAGCACAGAAAATATGTCTATGAGATGACTGGCTTGACAAGTAATGACTGAAAATACACATACGTGTAAGTAGTTAGAACACACTTTAAGTAGAGTCTAGTTTTAAAAAAAAAGAATGAGTTACAGAACAGAGAAAGAACTATAAGCAAGGGTTAAAAAAGTTTAACATGGCAGGTGAAGAAGTGAGATGAGATAGGAGGGTGACAAAACTGAAGAACTTTTTTTTAATTTTAAATTTGCTACAGGGTCTTGCCGTGCAGCTTGTACTCATAGTGATCCTCCTGTCTCAGCATCCCCAGTGCTGGGATTACTGGCGTGCACAACCACGCCCAGTTCCAGTGACTGGCATGGTGCGCCCGGGGTTTTGGGGCCAGCACAGCATGCGGTACCAGGGATCCAACCCAGTCCTTGCACTTGCACTAGACGACCAAGCTATTTCCCCACCCTGAAGAATTTTTTAAAGGATTAGGCTAGAAAGAATTCATAAAATAAAAATGGAATGTGAAGATGAGAGCCAGAGAGAAGTTTTAAAGGAAGAGCTACTGCGGGCTACTTGCAGATGGCAATGGCAGCAGCCAGGGAAAGAGGGAGAGAGGGAGAGAGGGAAATAAATCAGGCTGGGAACATGGCTCAGGGGAGAGCACTTGCCTAGCATGTGGGAAGCATTGAGTTTAGTAGAAAGCCCACCATAAATTAAAATTTAAAATAATATGCAAAAAATACTAAAAAGAACTCAGCTAAAACTAGAATAAAGTATAGACTGAGGGCATTTAGAAAATAGAGGTAGAGGCAACTTTTGAATAACTTCAGAGTAAAGGAAGGATGGAAGTAAGAGAGCAGCTTTATTTAAAAAGACAGAGGGATAGGGATATGCCTAGCCCTCCGCGGTAGCCTAGCACATGCAGGACACTGGGTCATACTTGGGTGGAGGAAGGGAGAGTATAAACAAGAAGTAAGAGAAAAAGAACTTACAAAGGAAAAATCATTAGGGAAGAGGTGGAAGAAGAACTGAAAATAATATGGGCCAGGGATTTGGCTCAGTAGAATAAGTGCTTCCCTGGCAAGCACAAAGGTCTGAGTTCAATCCCTGGTTCTGCCAAAAAAAAAAAAAAAAGAACTGAAAATAAGAGAAGTCAGTAACAAAATCAAGTGCCATTGTGGGATGTGTGGGAGATAAAAAGTCAGCTAACGAAAGGAAAAAGCAGACAGAAGAATTGGGGTTTGATAACTATAGCTGGCAGTGTAGGTAGGTGGGGAAACTGGTAGATTGGAAGAGCTGATTTTGAAAACGAGACAGTGTAAAGATAAAAATGTACAAAGCAAAAGTTTAAAAAGTCGTAAAATAGAGCAAAGAAGAATGAAAGGAAGAAGGGGAAGAAGAGTAGAAGTGATAGAAGGAAATAGAGACAAGAAAGAAGGAATGTAGGAGGGAAAAAGTGAGGGAGAGTGGAATGACTGTGTGGAAAAAACTGAGGAGGTATGGGGAAGAAAGAAATGAGTGGAAGAATGTTAGAGATAGAACAGAAGGAGCAAAGAAAAAAAGATAGGAAGCCAAATATGAGGCAAGAAAGAA